TCTCAATCTAAATTTAAAAAGTAGACATGACAATAAATAACAGCATCATAATGGAAGTTTGGTTACCAGTAGCAATTACTTCAAACTTATTAGTTTCGAATCTCGGGCACATCAAGAACAAAAAAGACATGATATCTAGGCTAAATGCCTGCAAAAGAAAAGGTTATCTACGAATTAAGTTTAAAGTTGATTGTGTTTACAAGAGTATTGCTGTTCATATTTTAGTTGCACAAGCATTCATCCCTAATCCAGAAAATAAGCCCTATGTTAATCACATCAACGGTATCAGATATGATAATCGAGCTGTTAATTTAGAATGGGTAACTCCTAGAGAGAATGCTGAACGTACAGTATTTCGAAATCCTAGTTGTAGTAGTTCTAAAAAAATTGTGCAAATGACCTTGAATGGAAATGTTGTTCAAGTTTGGGATTCTATCACTCTCGCATCGAATACTCTTAATATAGTAATGAGCAATATTTCTTATTGTTGTAGCGGAAAGCTAAATATTGCTGGAGGGTGGCATTGGATGTATTATGAAGATTACATAGAACAAGATCCTAATGAAGAATGGAGAGAAATAGAAATTAATTTACGAAAATTCAGTATTTCATCTTTAGGGAGGGTTCAGTTTCCGAATGGCTTAATATCTCAAGGATCTCTAGATGCAGGATATCTTAGAGTCACTCGAGAAAAATACCGTGTTCATCGCTTAGTCGCATTAGCATTTTGTTCCAAAGAAGAAGGCAAAGAATATGTAAATCATATTGACGGAGATTCTACCAATAATAAAGCATCAAATCTTGAATGGGTAAGTCAAAAAGAGAATACTCAACATGCCATACGTCTCGGGCTTCGATGCCAACGTGCTGTTAAGCAAATTTTTCATGATGGATCTTTCCAAGTATTTCCATCCTTAGCTGAAGCACAACGTATAACTGGGGCTAAAAAACAAAATATCAGTTTAGTATGTCAAGGACTTCAAAATCATACGAGAGGATATCATTGGGAATATATAAATGCAACAACATATCATAAAAATTGACTTGTTCAATTATAAAATTACTAATCTGTTATTAGTTTTTATATTTGTCTACACAACAGGCACGGCAAAAGTTTTGGAATCTGAACATCGGTAACAAGAGTTTTCGGGATCTCATTCAGAATGTTTTTCGCTAGAGCTATTATGTGGGTTTTATTTATACTTTAGCGACGAAAAAAACAAATCTCATATCACCTATATATTTGCTCATACGTCGCTCGAAAAAAATATCCCAACTCGAAATGGTATTACATCCGAAATATCGCAAGTAAGAGGTATGGTTTTTATTATAGCAGAATCAAAAAGGGAAAGTCGAATTTAGGATCAGCGAAAAACATTAAAATTAATAAAAAATACCGAATGAAGGTACAGTATATATGAGAAATTGGGTCGCACAAAAAAACATGTGGATCTAACCTGCTAAGTGCTTATTCCTCTACAATAAAAAATTGGATTATCGTGATCACAGTTTATTATACGATTAATTTATGTCTCGAGGCTACTTTACGTACCTTTGTACAATTATATACCTTGTTCTTATTTCGCTTCTTTTTTGGTTTAGAATGGATAGAGCCGAGGTCTTTAGA